GTGATAGAAATCAACCAGTTTTCAAGAAGTGGATACTGCAATATGTAAAGAGATTTAGTATTCTGATGAATTAATCTGCTTTGATACTTTCTTAGGATGGTTGGGCGTATTGGCCTTGCAACATGACAGTAATTGCTGAAGTACTTGGCAGTGGAAGCACATTTTGATACACATGGATAGTTTAGAGTAATGGAACCATTTTAAACCCTCAGATGCAAAATGTTAGCAGAGCTGTTTTTTTTTCCTCCCACTGCACGCAAGAGGAGGAAAAAAAAAAGATAAGGAATTCGATTTTCGGAAGTGGAAAACCCTAAGCCAATCTCAAAAGTTCTTCAAGCTGACAAAAGGGCACTCACTGTGCTCACTGCCCTTTGAAGGCCGTCTTTCACAGTGGCTTCACAACACGCTCAAAATTAAAATCAATATATTGCTTGCCAATATCCACAGTGAACTTGAGTTCATGTTTCGTCATCTCCTAGGGGAAATTCGTTTTTTTTTTTTTATCGGACTTAATTGGTTTCTTTGCGTTGTAAAACACCAAAAAAACAAGCATCACCCACAATTAATTCAGTACAACAGTGTTCCAGGAGATAAAGGGAGATATTTTACAGGGTTTGGGAACGAGACAGCAGAGGGTACGAGTCCGAATCCAGCCGAGCTGTCTGCATATGAAGGATTGAGTATTCTAGTCCAATTCATGTATTTAAAGGCACCAAATGAACAAGTTCAAATGTATTTGGCTGAGGTGAAAACTGAACTACTTCTGCTTCTCCACCCACAGAAGTGCAAGCCATCAAAACCTATATGCTTAAGTCTCTCTTTCCTCTTTGTGCCTCAGTCACACCGGAGTTGTGCATCGTTGTGTATCTGCCAACTGCAAGCAGCCCTTGGTTGTGCAAAACATTAACCTTTTTTGGCAACGTTCCTTCCAGAGGTATGCGCACTTTGGTTGACCCACAGTAACCCGCAATAGTCTTTCCCCTTGTTCAGGTATGATCAAGGTGAAGACAACGCATTAACAAAACTGTGGTAATTAAAACTGCATGAGAGACAAATACACTTTTAGAAGAAGACTCTAGTCTCATGAGAATAGTGAAACAATTGGTTTTTGAAGCATTTTATGGTTTTTGAAGTGCCTGTCTGTGTTTACCAGAAAGAGTAATGATTAATTTAAAGTTTACTGATTAAGTTAAGTGACATTTTTACCAGCAATGCGCCATTCTGTGAAAAAAGGAAAACAATTACATAATTTTGAATACTTGAGGCTACATGCTTTTTTAGAAAGGGCATTTTACAGCAGTATAAAAAAGTCTTTGGGTTCTTTTGCATTTTCAATTAATTTTTTTTTTTGTTGTTGGCAATGGAACCTTAAGACACCAGCTGAGGAGTGAAGACTGATTTCACTTCAAAGACCCTTAAACCCTTGAGCGTGAAGGGAAGTAAATGTTCACTGTGAACAGGCTACAAAACATGAAGGGAAAGTTCAGTGAAAGGATCAGATGAGATAAGAATGAAGTTGAAGTTAAATTAAGACAAAATACTGAGTATCATGCTGACTTTCAGCTCTGAAAGAACAACCAGGAAGTATATTTCAGAATTAGGAACTTTTCCAACTTGTGAACATCCTTCATCCCAACAATGTTGGTTACTTTAGTGGAGGGAACTCAAACCATTACAGTTTGGTGCAGATAAGAATTTCGAATAAACAATTCTCCATTTAGCTTCCGCTGAACACATTCGTTATGAGAAACGTCTGCTGACATGACACGTGATGAAACGTGAGTTAAGTTACGAGGCCTCCACACTCTGCAGAGAGAGGGGGACAAATATTGGCGGAACCAAAAAACAACGTACCTTCTCCTGCAGAAAGACGTGAAATGCCAGGATCGTAAGAAAACGAAAGTAAGCCGGCATGGAGCCGTAGTGCGAATCCTGAAAGAGCAAAAAGAACCAAAACCCTAATTGTTTAAAAAACATAAAAGTATATGTACTTACGGAATAATTATTTTACTTCCTCTGGGACAGCAGTCCATCACAGACCACATACAGACACACTCACACTGGGGCCAGCTGTAGCAGAAGCCAATTAACCTACCAGCATGTCACTGGGAGGAAACCCACACAAACCTGGGGAGAACATACAAGCTCCACACAGACAGTCCCCCAGGCCTGCCAGCACTGACTGACAGCAAGGCTAACCACTGTGCGTGCCATCAAGCTGCCCAGCAACACACGTGAAAAAAGGAAATGAGTTCACGAGACGCGATGCCTCTTAAAGCATATTCATTTTCTTCTGGCTAATTGGTAAATCTATCACATGTTCTCAGCCTTGATCCCAACACTAAAGCAAGCGGCCTCCATGCTTATTAACCAATTATCCCTATCAATGGAAGTGCTGTAAGTAAACCTCATCCATGAAAGGAGGACTGGGAATGCAGTGCAAAAGTGCACGAGTCGTGAAGGCTTAGATTTAAACACAAAACCTTCAGGCTGGGGGAAGAAGAGATCAAAATGGGTTCAATTACTCAAATTCAAACCAGGACGTGTTCAGGAAACACAAAAGGTCTAGGTATTCTCTCTGCCATCTCCGCCTACAGTTGTCAGCATTTTGACGGATTTATTTATTTTTTTAGAAAAAAAGCGTTGAGCCCAGTAATGATACAAAGTGCACGGCTGAATCCTGACAGAGGAAAGGAATCGGTTTACTGAACTGGCCACTGAGATCACCAGACTCACCGCAGCCCAGATACAAGCCAATCTGATCCGCGCATTTAAATGAGGGAGCTAAATGTCACAGGACAGATGACAAACAGGTTACCAAGCCACTTCTGCTCCATTTTAAATGCAAAGAAACTGCTCCTCAGGATCATTCGAATTTTAGAAGACTTCACGCAGCACATTTGTTTGGGCGGTGGAGTTTTATTAAAAAGAACAGCCTATGACTTTGCCATAATCAAATGTTAAGACGGCGTTTCTCCCTTTTATGACACAGAGATAAGAGCATGGACTCTTCTGCACTACCAGCCCCCTACAGCCTTTTGGACCGAGACAGGCTCAAGCCGTAAACAGATTCAGCTGTTTCTATTTTCATTACCCATTTCCTTCCTGCCAAGAAAACAGCTACTTATAAATCTCAGGAGCCTGTGTCAGCGGTAAGGTGCCTGGGCTGTTTGACCTCTTGGCGTCAAAGGTAATTCTTTTGGGTACAACCAGCAGCAGGGGAGCCAACAGCATTTAGTCTTCCCAGTAACGAGAAAATAACGTCTTTTTGGGAATCCTTTCCCTTTTAAATAAGACGGTTCCACGTTCAAACTGGAAAACCAATTAAATTCACTATAAATTAAGGTGGTGGTGCAGGGATGAGCACTGCTCCCTCACAGCTCCAGGGCTCTCTGCTCAATCCTGGACCTGGGCAGCTGTCTGTGTGGAGTTTGCATGTTTTCCCCACGTTCAGTTGGGTTCTGTCTGGGAGCTCCGGTTTCCACCCACGATCCAAACACCGGGAGGTTAATGGGCTTTTTGAAAAACCGGCCCTGGTGCGAGCGTGTCTGTGTCTGTCCTGTGACGGACTGGTCCAGGGAGCAGCCTGCCCCGTACAGTCCCTGCTGCTTCCTCACCCACGACTCTGAACTGGCTGAAGCGGTTAAAAAGAGATATCTAATTACTAGAAAATCGTTACTCAAATTGGGGGTCGGTGTAGGTTACTTGTCACGCAATTTCATCGCTGAAAAGAATATCTTGAGTAAAAATGAAGTCACTTAAAAACTTGCAAGCTCCGTCGTTGTAATTCTCAGTCTTTAAAGTTTCCCCGATTTCAGGCCCAACTACATTACAGTTCTAATTACATAGTCGAGAACGCACTAGTCTCTAAAGTGAACGTCCCCTAAGAAAACTCCAAATGAACGACAGCATATTTCTGGGTAGACATACCTTAGTCTCATCCAATCGCCCGTACACCTGCCAGAAATATTTTGTAAAGAGCTCTTTGGAGATCGGCTGCCCGTTGATTCGGATTCTCTCTCTGACTTGCACCAAATGTGGAGAACTGCAAAATGAAATCACATGGTCACTGATAAAATCAAATCTTCACACGCCAGCCCTTGAGCTACTGTACTCATCTAATTCAAAACCATTGCTAAATTGTTAATGGCTGAGGCAGAACTGCCCGTTTTGAAAAATTAATGTGAACATTCATAGGCAAGCCTAAAATTACAAGACAGAAATTAGGTTATTAGAATTTCCAAAATATTGTAAATGTGAAATACTTTATATGAAGTGTTTTATGTTTACTTGTAATATCACTTCATATTTCATATTTAACAAAACCAAACAGAACAGACTCTTTTAACAATCAGTCAAAGGCTTTGTTATATTAGCATAAATTGGTAATTGATGTCCTTACTGACACTGCCTAGATTTCAAGAATGCTTTCTTTTAAACTCACCTGTAAAATCCTGTGCGAAGCCCACAATTCCTAAGAATGCGCTCTGTGAATGCACACGTTGATCCCTTTAAAAAAAGTAAAGCAAAAATAAAGATACACCCCCATGAGTCTTCCAAACAATTTGGTTTTGATGAATGTCCATATTTGAGTAGAAAGCATTTTCACCCTAAAACAATCTGATTTTGAGAAAGTATTAGCAATGGTGCTATATATCTTCATAACCACTGCAGATGAGCCTGTTTTTTTTAATGTTTTGGGTAGAAAACTGCACTTTGGTCCATGCTATACAAGCAGTAACATTGACATTGTACTACAGCTCTTTCTCTTCCACGATGGATAGAACAAAGACGAGGTTTTATGATGGATTAAAATTCATCAGCCAGAGAATTCAGACATATTCCACCTGCTCAGTCTCAGATTGAGAAGCTAGTTCCTCCTGAGACACGGCAAACACAAATGTTCACCGTCAATATCTCCCACATGTGTACAGGCCATTAGTATCACATTCAGTACAGTGTCTAGAGATGGCAACGTTTCTCTGCTTTGGACTTTGAAATGGTACCGAGTGCAGGTGTACATAAACTATGAGATCACTATAAAAATCAAAGGCCTGTTGATGGCAGATGATTATCATTATTGTCTTCTGAAGATATAGTTTGGCACATTTACAACTAGTTAATGAATATTGTAAAACATTGTTTTAGCAATAGCATGTGGATCCAAAAGCCTTATCAAGCCTCTTCATGAGCAACCTGACATTAAATAGGTGTCATTCCCTTATATGCCCTCTTATTGCGGCCTGTATGTTGCATTGAAGGTTACGTCCCTCTGACAGTGCTAATCCTTCCCGCACTATGAAACCCTCAATGCGATTTCCTTGAAGTGTTCTTTGTTCCTACACTGGATCTGCTCACCAACAGACAGCACGTTGTCAATTTAAAGAACACATGATATGGAAGCTGTTAAGGAGACTCATGCAGTATACCTTAAATAGCCCTTGGGCTCCAACAGATCTCATTACAGATATTATGAAAACTTGTGCATATACAGTACATGCCGATGCATACCGTATGCACCAGAAGTATATCACAAGGCTCTTTGGAGTTGATCCAAATTTATTGCCGCAGAATGGAGGTGAGGTAACTGGTTTAGTAAACTAAACGTTTGTAGGTCCCTTAAAGTAACTTCATTCTGGAAGTCTGTTGTCCCCATTGTTTAATGGGTATTGTTTTGTTGCGTTTAAGGAGCTGTCCTTGGGCCACGAGGAAAGTAACCATGGAGGAAGATAAAGGTGACGAACACAGATTACCAGCAATCAACACAGATTACACTCACTGCTGAATCCGTAAATCAGCTACATTAAAACCTACAGATTCAGCAGTGACATACCATTCCTAGGAGGGTCATCATGCAATCCTCAAGGGGGTCAGACCAGAAATTCCTTAACTGTGGAATTAGCAGGACAAAAACACCTCTCCTAGGTTAGCTGTGCACTGTTAGAAGAGGGAAACTGACTGTAATTCATTTGTGAATATAGAGAAGGAGATTTAGTGCTGGGTAGGATCTGCTTTTATTTTGAATAGGACACAGGTTCCCTCTTTGTCTTGTATAGCGTTTAGATTACAAGACCAGAATTGTGGGATTTTATACATTTGCAAGAGACAAGACGATCTACAAAGTCTCACTACAGTTTAAGATATTTGTAAAACAGCAGTGAAACTATGTCGTGTGTGTCTGCATTATTTATTGTTAATGAATTGTCAGCCTGGTCTTTACTCTATTATCAAGATGTGCTGGAGAATACAAGGACACACAAGCCATCTAGCAAATGGTATTTCCTGACTTTAGGAGATGTACTTATTAATATAAGTACAATCCTTATAATATAACTGGATTGCTAGCTGGTGTTAGTACCTGACTCTTATTTGACTTTCATATTTGATGAGATAACCCAAGTGTTAACCCAATTTTGAAAAAATATTTTAAAACTGAAAAACAATTAGAAAATGACCTGTGAAGACTGGACAGGGACTATAATATCCGCAACTTCCTTGAAGAGAAGCCATGTGCATTGCAAGTTAATCTGAATTAAGTTTGCAAACCTTAAATTGCATCGTTTATTTTAAAGTAGGGTCAACTATCTATTTCTTTGGAAATAGAAACATACTTCATGGCCAGATTTTAAAACAAAACAGCAAAGCTGGATACTATAACTGGGTATTACTGAGATTACGGAATAAAATAAATAGGAAAGCAGTGTAAATGTACTCAGTGGGAGTTATTGAAATGTCTTACCTTTCCCTTAGTCCCAGTTACATGAATAATATTAAGCTGGTCCAGATCCTCTACCTTCAAGACAAAACAGTTTCAGTCAGGAAACGTGACCTGAGCACACTGCTCGTCTCAGTTTACTAGAATCTAAGCAAAGCAAATCAAAGAGATTCTTAAAGGAAGCCTTTGCGTGAGACTTAACAACCCTGAGCAAACTATTTCTAAATGATTCTGGTGTGGAATGCATCAATATGAGTGACATCCAGTTTGGGCAAACTCAGCTGGGCTGCACAGATACAGTCTGTATAAAAAAAAAACAAGCATTGTTTACTTAGGTCTTGTGAAAGGGAAAACAATATTTACAAAAGAGAAATGACCAAACATTCAACAAGACTAAAACTGCAGTTTTCCAGGGAATTTCCTCCTTTTAGTTTAAAAGGCCTAAAACCAACCCAAGTAAGTTTCAAAACCCAGAAGAGATAACACTCACAGGCAAAGACTAAGATAAGACTAGCTGCTACACTACAGAGCCCTCCAGATTTGTTCATTATTCCAAAGAAAGAGGAACAAGTAACATCAGTGAAGCATGGGTTACAGACTTGGAAATGGGAGATTATTGGATAATAAATCGTTCTAATAATGTTATATTAAATAATGGCTACTAATGCTGTACTAATGTAACCCTAACAGCACTGCACAGAACAAAGGCATTGATCCGTTTTCTGATTGCTTCTTCCGATCCAGGGTCATCGGGAAACAAAAGCCTACAGTATCTCAGCAAGCAACCAGGGCTCAAGGCAGGATACACCCTGGAAGGGACTCCAGTCCATCACAGGGCACAGACAGAGCCCAGACACACTGACAGCAGGGCCAGTTTTCCTAGAAGCAGGTTAACCTAACAGAATTTTATATCATTTGGACTGTGGGAGAAAACCAGAGCACTCTGGAAATCCAAGTGAACTTGGGGAGAACATGCAAACTCCACATTCCACCCGTCACCAAGCAATCTGACTAGTGCAGTCCATTCTTCCAACACAACACTGGATTTGACTGGTCACCCAGACCGACTTACCGCCAGGCCACTGCGCTGAAGGAACGTCCTCATGGCCTGCAACTGCATCTGGGGCTGGCCGCGCTCTCTCTTCACCTGCTCCAGGTAGCTGGCGTTGGTCTGGAGCGTATTGAGGGTACACACCGCGTCCTCCCGGGGGCAACAAACACAAAACACTCAGCAACGCGGGTTCAAGAGCTCGGCGGGGGGGGTGGCCAGGAAAGTGCTGTATTAGCGCTGTTAGAAACGTATTTCTTATTTCACGTGCACAAGCCAGCAACGAAACCTGGACAGTCAACGAAAACCAGTGAGAAGCAGCTCACGGGGTTTATCCTGAATTCTGCGCCTCCCCACAGGCACAATGAGAATGTGGAGCTCAGGTTACAGCCCTGAGTCACAACCCTAAGCACAGAACTCCGATTGTATTACTCATTTTCTCACTTTAGACTTGTTCTCCAAGTACAGGGATTTGATTTACACAGTTTATACGGCAAAGTCTGTTTACTTCATAAGAATCTTCTATACACTAATGCTTGAGGGCTGAGTTGTGCAACAGAAGCCAAGATTATCCTTAAACTTGATTCCCACCTTCCCCCTACTCTGGATGGTAGACTACTTTCTTGCTGGGATCTCTCCATTCATTTACACATTTCAACTGTTACACCTCTCCTCCAGACCTACCACTGCTTGGACACCTTCTCTCCACTCTCGCCCTCACAGCTGAAGGAGACTTAACCTAAACGGAGTTTTTCTTCGCTTTACGTTTTAGCGTGGGATTGCGTTGCGTTGACCAGTCACGTAACTATCATACATGGAAGCTCACGATTAGCGCTGACAAAGACTCCGCATGAGAAGACTCATTTTCAGCAGGGCTTCAAGTTTTGCTAAAACCCCTAGTTCTAGAAAGACCCGTTCATCCAGGTCCATTCTGGTTTCAGGTCGTTCGGGTTGGAGCTGAGCAATATTTGGTTACGCAAGCAGGTTTTTCTGTACGACGTGGGACGTGTGCGAAGGATCTGTCAGAAACCTAAAAGCCAGCGAAGAAATTTCCCTTGAACTCTGCAAATCAACCGACTTTTCAATAGGAGCCCTTGCACCGAGAAAACACTGGAAATAAATACGGTTTTCCACCAGACTTAAACGCCACCCGAAAATCCCTGCCAATGGGGCAAACTTGTAGAGAAGCCTACAAGTCTGCTGAGTTTATGTGTAACGCATACAAGCACATACATTTGGTAGTAAAATTCAGAGTAAGTTAAAAGAACTCACACTCACCATTTCTCGTTCCTTACATGTTCTCAATCGATTATCGTACATTTCTGCCCCTGTACCGACAACCCCATGGGCACAGACTCAGAAGTGTGAAGGTATTATAAGCGTTACTGAACGTAATGAAGGGGACAGACGGGTCAAAGTCCGTTTAATATTCAGTGTGGATCGTGAGAAATCTTTAGCCAACCACGCAAAATCATTTGTGTGTGTGTGTGCGCGTGTGTGTTGGTGCTTAATTTCAGCTTTCCACAACGTAGACTGTATATTACCAGGTACAGGTTTTGTTAGGTTAATTTCTAAAAAAAAAAAAAAGCCAGCCGCCAGTTTCGCGTTCGCTGACAGCCAGAAGACACTTCAACAGCTGATAAACCTGTCTTTTTTTTAAAAAAAAAAAAGAGACGGAGAGCGTACTAAATATCTACTGGACACGACCAAGACAACTTCCTGGCCCTCAGCAGAAGCTGCGCCAGGCACATGGGAGACGGGAGCCCAGCATGGTCGCCCGCATCACAAATCATGTGGCAGAGAGAGAGCTGATGTAACAGTTTTCTCTGGTTACATCCATCACAGTCTTTGCCGGCTTCTGTGTATCGGCAGCCACGCCACGCCACATTATTTCATCTCCCTCCCCCCCCAGCCCCATACCTGATACTCCATCCTGGGCAGCCGCGCCGGCTGCGTGCTGGAGCCCCTCGCCGCGACCAGTGAGCCTCCCCGCCGGAGGAGGAGGAGGAGGGCGCCGGGCCGGCAGCGCTGCCAAACGCGGAGCGGGCGCGCCATCGTCGGGCTGCTGCTGCGGGCCTGGGCGCCGACTGGTCGAGCTGTCTCCGCCCCCCTCGCCGGAACAGCCTTGTTTGCAACCCGATATGATGTCACGATCGTTGGTTGCTGCCGGGTTTTTAAAAAAAAATTGGAAAAGGGAGGGGGGGGAGGTCCATCTTTGTAAGGGGCGAATAATCACGTTATTAAAAAAAAAGTGACGCCCGAGACGCGGCGAAATTGCTCGTTTGCAATTGCTCATTTCTGAGTGAATGCAGGGGCTGCCGTGCAACCTCCACCGGGAGGGAAGTGTTTCACCCGCATAGCGAAATCGGTGACAGTTTAATGATTCAACCCCCCCTCGCACTGAACCGAACCCAACTGTATTCACTTTCTGCATGTACAGCTGTCAGCTGTCTGTCCGACCGAGCATATAAAGTCCTTTTTTTTATATATATATAAAAACAGGACAGAAAAAAAAGCCGAGCGGGGGTTTTGAAGGAAGGTGTATGCAGGTGTATGCATCTGTCCATCTACAGCATGTTATAGGCAGTATATGAGAAAACTAAAATCACACGAGGTGACAATCATCTTTTTTATTCTGTGACCTCAACTGATGAAACAGATTTCCATTGCATTCCATTCTCTCACAGATGGGAAAAAAAACCCCAGACTCTAATTCTAAGGTGATTTTAGCTCGGTGATCGATTTCACGTTAAAGTTCAGTAAGATCCGTCCATCCTCGCTGCTCCAGAACCACAAAGTCAGTTTTTGTGCTTAACTGGTAAAAGCAACCATTTCCGTTTTAGGGATTGGAAATGCTGTACCTGTACAATCAGCGCGACCATCTTTCTGGGGACAGCTCTGGCCACCTCCTCCTGAGATTCAGACTGCTCGGTCCTGAAATTTCAGTCAGGTGCAGGAAATATGACATGAAGTGGTTTAATTGACCCAGGATAGAGCTCTTCACAAACACGGAAAGAGAACTGAGCTCCGATACGGTGTACAAGTGCAACTGGAGTAAGATATTGGAGTAGCCAAGAGAGGAAAGAGTTGGGAGTGGAGCCTACCCGTAACTAATACCACAGTGAAAATAAGTAGTTTGTTAGATTACATGGGATTAATGCTAAAAGTTGAAAAGTAGTAAATATATTAGATTCAGGTTATAGATGGAGCTCTATTAATTTATTTTGCCTAACTGGTACTGAGGCATTTTTTTTTAAATGTGCTATTTCCTATAATCTCCAAGGCGTGGTGGCATCTTCCCAACTGTACCATTACTAAATAAATCAGAGGCGTTATTTGCAGACGGTTGATAGCAATAGAAGCAGATGACATAAAAATGTACATATGATATTGATTGATATGGTCCCTCAGAGTGCAAATTCTTACAACACCGATTCTGCTATAAGACAGAATGCCCAGAGTATGTGCTACTGTATCACCAAATACCCAAGTGAAGTGCAGGTGAGATAGCCTCTTCCAAGAAAC